GCCGTTTACCACAACGTTCGAGACAAATTTGATGCGAGTCTCGCGCTGAGCGCGTGCACACATGCGCACGCCGCAACAGGTAGGTGGACGATTCACCTATCGTGGAGTGTGACGCTAGAGTCGAGAGAAAGCGAGCAAAGCCTGCCCGCATTGAAGACCGTCACGCAACTAATTAAAAGGCACACGCGTGTACGTCTCTTAGTCGGCTCGCCCTTGCGAGACAGAGATTGTTATATATATATAGGTTTTTAAAAATATATAAATACCACATCTTCGACGTCGGTATCCTCGGCTGTGCTGTCCAGCTCTGCTCGGCGTATAATTTCTGGTTGTGCTACGGCGTGTTGCTCGGTGCGATGTCCGACGTTTCAGCTCATCGACGAAGCTGCCATCTAGTGCATAAAAAGAAGAAAAAACCGCCGGGCATCCTGCCGTACAACACGCAGTGCAATTCTACTTTGTGCAGACCCCAAAACGCCATCGGGGGGGAGGAGGTCTGCATTTGAACACCTGACGTAGGTATACGGAGGTGCTTTAACGCGTTGGCGAACATGTGCCGATAACCTAATCTACCATCATCATCATCATAATCAATATCACCACCATAATCATCATAATCAACATCACCACCGTAATCATAATCAACATCATCATAATCAACATCACCACCATCATAACCACCATCACCGGGAAAGCAAGCAAATCAAACCAAGGCGAGGTGATCGATTTTTGCCAACCGTGTGGTCAAAGTAAACCTCCCCCCCACCCACCACCACCAATGTGCCAAATCGTAAAACGCGCATTCACAAACTACTCCTCTCGCAACTGCGTTGTCAACACCGTGCACAACTTTCGGTACGGGCGACGTGAAGGCAACAAAGATGAAGTCCCCCCTCCCAACCTGTATAGCTTTAAAAGACTGTTGGGGAAGTTCTGTTGGGGAAGTTCTCGTCGCGAGAAGCACCTCTGCACACAAGGGGGTGTGGGGTGGCCAGCGACACGCCAGGCCACCTTTGACGATGTCTCACTACACATTGCACCAGGTGCTCATTTGAGGCATAGTCGACCTGGGGGGTGGGGGGGGGGGGGTGGCAGGACCGGTTTCAGATAATCGTCGCTGGTGTTGGCACATGCGCGGGAATCGAAGTCGGGGTGGCCGGGCTCGAAGCGCAGCGCACTGACCGCAGCACTACCGCTCCCTCATTATAAGGGCAACGGGCAGGCACGCGGTTTGACGCGGGGACACGGCAGCAGCAGGAGCCCCGAGAAGCCCCGAGGAGCCCCGGCGTGTGCGGACGGCACCGACGCTGCGCCACGCGAGGGATATCCTCGCTCGGCGATTAAATCAAGCGGGGAGTGGAACTCGGGCAATGGTCGAAGGCACGGGAAGACCCCCCCCCCCCCCCCATTGTTAATGCTGCAGTAGCACAGTCTTAACCCGAGTCCTATACGCGTGCGTATTCATGCATAAGCATGGACCGTATATCAATACATAAGCATGTGTATCAATACTTAAGCATGTATATGAATGCATAAACATGTGTATCAATATTCTTGGTTCTTTCGGTAAAGTCACGTAGAAGGGAAACAATAAGATAATAAAAATATAAAACAATAAAATTATCACGACGTTTCGACTGCAACACAAGCAATCGTCATCAGGTGTGAAAACCACAGCAAGAACATTTGAAAAAAGTGGCGGTTTTTTTTTTACGTTAGCACCACGAACAGCGATTTGACAGTTATTCAGATGGACCAGTCCATCTATGTTCGGAAAAGAAGAGGGGGGAGACGAAAATAATGGATGCGGTCTGAAAGCCACCGTAACCGTAAACAATCAATTAAGACCCAAAATGGTTTATCAAATCCTTCCAATGACTGCTAAGGCAGAATCCATCTTCTCGGATGAAATTGTCTCTGTGTTTGTATATGTTGATAGTCTCATGAACGAATCTCTCATGGTAGCCAGATGGCCTGCAAAGTACATCTGTCTTGGAGAAGTCAATGTCATGTGAGCCTACTGAATTATAAAAGTGATCTGCCACGGCCGAGGTGGTGGTCCTACCGTGTTTTAGGTCTGCTTTGTATTCACGAATGCGGTCCGAGACATGTCGTTTGGTTTCTCCAATGTAACTACTACCACAAAGGTAACTTAGTTTATAGACGCCAGGGTACTGTACGTCCGGAATCACATATTTTACAGACGGAACCAGATCACGGATTTTATGTAATGTGTTGAATCGGACCTGGATCTTGTGTTTATTCAAGATTTTGGAGATCAGTTTTGTGATCCCCGCAATGTAGGGTAAAGTGATGGTTTTGAAAGGCTCCTCAAGAGGGTCCCTCTTCATGGTTGGAGTGATAGCTTTGCGGATTGTGTAGTCGGATTAACCATTAGCCTTAAGAGCTTGGTGTACGTGTTTGAGTTCACTGGCTATGTGTTCCTGGTCGGATATGCATTGGGCTCTATTGTGCAGAGTCTTGATGAGGGAATTCTTCTGGGATGGATGGTGGTGGGAATCCGGTTTCAGGTAAGCATCCGTATGGGTAGCTTTCCTGTAGACAGAGTGGCTCATTGAACCATCAGGTCTTTTTCGACTTCCATGGTAAATCTGATGGCTGGGTGTATGGAATTGCTGTGGTCGAGGAATTGGTTTAGAGCAGGCCGGCCATGTGGCCAGGTTCTTTGCAAGCCATCTGGCTACCATGAAAGATTCGTTCATGAGGCTATCCACATATACAAACAGAGACAATTTCAAACGAGAATATGGATTCTGGCTTAGCAATCATTGGAAGGATTTGATAACCATTTCGGGTCTGAATTGGCTTTCAGACCGCATCCATTATTTTCGTCTCCCCCCTCCTCTTTTCCGAACATAGATGGACTCGTCCATCTGAATAACTGCCAAATCGCTGTCCGTGGTGCTAACGTTAAAAAACGCCACTTTTTCTAATTTTCTTGCTGTGGTTTTCACACCTGATGATGATTTCTTGTGTTGTATTCGAAACGTCGTGAGCATTTTATTGTTTTATATTTTTATTATTTTATTGTTTCCCTTCTACGTGACTTTACCGAAAGAACCAAGAATATGAATCCCTGCAGTCACGAAAGCTTTAAATCAAAATGTATGTGTATCAATACATAAGCATGTATATCATTGCATAAGCATGTATACCAATGCATAAGCATGTCTGGTTATAATGTCGCACCCCCGACACACCACGTTCAGTATACATCTCTCGCGATGGCTGTTGCTACTCGTCACGTGCCCCCTACTTCAGCCTTCCAGCGCGGTGTGAAGCTATGAATCCCTGTGTGCGCACACTTGATCATGAAGCGCTTTAGTGATTTAATTAACATGTGTAACTTTCTAATAATTGCAAATTATAGGTACACTTAGCCCGGCAGGGTAGCGAATCAAGTAACACCACAAGCAGTTCCAACAACTGGATGCCACTGGGAGGAGTTTCGAACGCAAATGTTCTGGAGCAAACATCGCGGACAGAGCTGCATGGAAGGCCGTGATCGGGAACGCCTTTGAGAAAGGACGTGGCTCACAGAGAGATCAATAGACTAACATTGCCCATAGACTAAGTGTCCATTCACTAACATTGCCCATATACTAGCATTGTCTATAGACTTACATTGCCCATAGACTGACATTGCCCATAGACTGACACTGCCCATAGACTTACATTGCCCATAGACTTACATTGCCCGTACACTAGCTTTGCCCAGAGACTAACATTGCCCATATACTAGCATTGTCTATAGACTTACATTGACCATAGACTAACATTGCCCATAAACTAGCATTGTCTATAGACTTACATTGCCCATAGACTTACATTGCCCATACACTAGCTTTGCCCAGAGACTAACATTGCCCATAGACTTACATTGCCCATAGACTTACATTGCCCATACACTAGCTTTGCCCAGAGACTAACATTGCCCATAGACTTACATTGACCATAGACTTACATTTCCCATAGACTAACATTGCCCCTAGACTAACATTTCCCATCGACTTACATTGCCCATAGACTAACATTGCCCATAGATTAACATTGTCCATAGACTAACATTGCCCATAGGCTTACATTGCCCATAGACTTACATGGCCCATAGACAAACATTTCCCATAGACTTACATTGCCCATAGACTAACAATTCCAATAGACTTACATTGTCCATAGACTAACATTGTCCATAGACTGACGACACAGAGACACATTTTTGTAAGAATAAAAGCAGTGGTTTGTGCTTTCCCTTAAAGCCATTTCCTGTAACGTTAATTATCAAGGCACGTCCATACACGTCGCGGGTGCACATTGAGTAGTTGATGCGCATAGTTCGTACAGTATTTTGAATGGCCTTTCACAACTACACTCCACACCTAAACCAATCCTCCTCAGGAGATTTTCCGATGCGATTATTTTGCAAATCGTTCCTGAAAGTCAATATCGTATCTCTCGTCTTTACAAAAAATAAAATTGCAAGAAATGTGCTGATGAGAGTGTCTGTTTTCATATTCTACACGTATATAAGTCTAGTAATTTACACCATGTAACAACCTATAGCATATGTAAATTCGGATTGTGTAAGAAAGTTATTGTAAACAAATGGGGCTGGGAAACATTGGCACAGATGGCTCATAATGCTGATGGACTACAAGTGTGTATATTATTTTGTTACTTGATTATTTATTATTTAATATGCTGCTATATGCATCTACAATATACACAATAACGTGTGCATTGCACCTACATGCAAATACGGTCGGTCATGTGTAATAATTGAAGTAAACATTTTAAAGGCAGTATATTCATGAAATTATTTCACGCGAAATTATATCCATATTTATGGTGGGAGCAGCGCACTGCAAAACTATGAACCCGTCCCCTGGACACACACCTCCCCCCGCCCCCCCTTTGTTACCAACCCGAACTAACACCACCGTGGTGAAGTATGGTCAAACAAGCCCCCCCGGTACAATTACCCCGCCTAAAGACCGACCCGGCGCGTGGAAAGCCTCCACATTCATCCAGCAGTGAATTGACAAATAGGGCCGTGCACTTTTAGCGCATTAACATGTGCGCACACATATACATACACACATGCCTACATATAACATGAGAACGAGATAATCAGTGAGTTTGAAACGTGTGTGCATGGATCCATGTTTCTTTATTTTTGTTTAAAAACACATCTTAGAAAGATGCCCTGCGTGTTAATCCACACGCACTCGTGAACGCAACCTGCAGGGAAGTATAGGCGAGTTGAACACTGTTTTAACCCGAGAAAGGCATTTTAATACTGCAGGGAAAACATGTCATCTTACATATATGTCTGTGTGTATTGGATATAGCAAGTCCTGCACTTAAATATGTCACTGCTCTCTGTTCGTATGGAAACCAACGGAAGTTGCTATTCCAAGAACTGTGTGTGAATTATGCTTACGCCACTGCGTACTTAGAATGATTTTACGCACCGTGCATTAACAATGAATTAATTTTAAGTTCAGCGAACATATCGGTATGGGAAACGACATAACGTGGTAGCCGCCTTGGTGGTGTTTTGTTGTTTCTGTTTAATATATGAATTTATTTTGCAGCAACAACAACCCAAAAAAAAACATTGCACATTAGCGTTGTTATATATATATACATGCTTATTTACGCTACATAATATCTTGCCGTGACTTGGTGGTATAAAATCGACGGACAGCAGAAAAAAAAAGAAAACGTGCCAATCACTCTTGAAAGTTTCAACAACAACAAAATAACAACAACGATAACAACGATTGTAACAGTAATAATCATCATCATCACCACCACCACGTCCCATGCATGAGTGCAAGCGACTCGTGAACGTGTGGCTTTGTGTAGAGTCTGCAGTGTCGATAACCGCATTATTCTGCAGCACATCATACATTACATAGGTACATATTTATATGCGATCATTAGTCGCTGATTACGAACGGTCTGGAGAAACAGCAGCGCCGACTTCGGGACGATCCATGGGGGGTGGAGATGGGGTTATATCACAATTAAAATCACAATTAAAACCCTTAGAGGGTTGCGATGCGACAGGCCAGTAATTGATTCGGACATTAGGCTTCGAAGTTCGGGCGATCTGATTTGGATTCCCGATCACGGTTAACGTTAGCGGAGATATAAGAACTGGTGTTCGTACCCCCCATCCTCCACCTGCACGAACCCGTGCTGACCAGTGTGGTAGAGTATGGCCAAACAGCCCCCGTGCCTTAGGGAGGGAGGCCTTCATCCAGCAATTAATTTATAAAGGGCTTATGTTTCATATGATATTAATAATATAAAAACCTGACCAGTTTTAGTCCTGGCCTGATAAATGCTGCAAAGGACTGGCGCAAGTGAGCACAGGGCGCGACAACTCGTCAAATGTGTTGTTACTGTCTCACACCCCCGTGCACTGCCCGAAGCGAGCGGCGCTTCTATTCCGAGACCACTCAAGAGCAACATTCAATGACCGCGTCAGTGAACCCGCGCTTCAAATCTGCGTTGTTATATATTTTTTTGCATATTTGTAAAAAATACAGTACGTGGGATGTCTGTTGATTTTTACGCAAGAGTCTGACTTACGCGCTGGGATATCTTCCTCAGTGTCCGAAATAAGCCGACTGCAGGCCGGCACCAGGGAAGCCCATGAGTGACGGCGAGTGCGACTGCCTGTGCCCCGCGACGGTCGAGTGGTGATGCTGGTGGTGGGCAGCTAAGCCTTGCTGCAGAGCCGAACTGCCGAGCCCCAGGTGCCCGGCCAGGCGGTAGCCGGTGCCCGGGCCCACGTGGATGAAACCGGGGGAAGCCGCTGTCCCGTTCGCCCCGGTGCTGTGCAGGGAGCAGCTGCCCGGCGTCCCACCGCAAGGCACGACCGGGGTCGAGCCGCAAGCGGCAACGGCCGCTGCCGCCGCCGCCGCCGCCGCTGCTGCAGCTGAGCCGTGGTGGTGCTGCTGCTGCTGCATGAATGACTGCAAGCCCAAGTGCTCGACGAGCTCCTGATGGCCGCCACCCAAACGTCCGAGGCAGAGACCCTGTGCGCTCGCCGCGGACAAGTTGAAGGGCTGGCCGGCCGCGTCAGCGCAGCTCTGAGGTTGCACCAACTGCAGCGGGCTGTACGGCCCTGCTGCGTGGTTACTCGCGGGATATCCCGGGCATCCACCACCACCACCACCGGCACCACCACCACCGCCGCCACTTGCACCTCCGTAGCCGAGCATAGAGCCGGCGAAATGAGAATGCAGAGGCAGCAGCGGCGACACGGACCAGTAAAGCGATCCCGCGCGGTCCATGAGCGCTAAGTCGTGCGCCGAGAAGCGCGGAGGGGCTCTCAGGGCCAGCCCCGCCGTGGCCAGGTAAGGGTTGCGTCGGCAGGCGAGCTGCAGCTTGCCGCGCGGAGACGCCGCGGAGCGCCGGCGGAGTTTGCCCGTGCGCCCGCCGATGAAGACGTCGTCGCTGGACGGGTCGAGCATCCAGTAGTTGCCCTTGCCCGGGTCATCGTAGTGGCGCGGCACCTTCACGAAGCACTTGTTGAGGCTCAGGTTGTGCCGGATGGAGTTCTGCCAGCCCTGCTTGTTCTGCCGGTAGTAGGGGAAGTTGTGCATGATGTACTCGTAGATGCCGCTCAGCGTGAGTCGCTTCTCGGGGCTCTGGCGGATGGCCATCATGATGAGCGCGTTGTAGCTGAAGGGTGGCTTGTCACCACCCTTCGCGCCGTCCCCGTCCTCCTTTGACTCTCCGCCGCCGTCGCTTGCCTTGCTTCCCGCTCCCTTCTCTTTGTCGTCAGCGCAGCCCGCTGGCTCCGCGTCGTCCGTCTTCTCCTCCTCCTCGCTGCTGCCGCCGCCGCTGCTGCTGCTGCTGCTAACGGTGGTGTTGGCGGCGTGGTTGTTGACACTGCCGCGGTTGTTGTTGTTGTTGTTGAAGATGGTCGCGGTCGTCGTGGTGATGACGGGCGACTCTGGCTCGGTCGGGCACGATAGTGAGTCCGGGTCGGGAGATCCTCGGCTGGCCGGGCGACTCGCCTCGGCGTCCGGCAGGAGGCGGGCGATGCTGAAGGAGGAAGCCCTGCTGCTCGGCAGCGCCCGCGTGTCGGTGACACGGTCTGCCATGTCCGGCATCCCCCCCCCCCTCCCTGGCCGGCGCTAAACGCCCGCGAGCGCGGCGGTCACAACGGCGGCAGTGGCCGCTCCCGGCACCGCGCCCGGCCACTGCGGCGCCGCGGCTCCCCGGCTCATCACGCGCCGCCCGCTCGCCCCCTCGAACGAGGTCCAATTAAGGTGGAGTGCTTGGGTGAGCTAGCAGCCGGGAATTAGGGGGGTGGGATGTTGGGAGGGGGTAGCGTTGCAGCGGGGGGGGGGGGGGTGGTGAAGGGAAAGACTACGAGGTGGTGGTGGCAATGACTCGATAAAATACGAGAGGGGAAATGAAATCGAGAGGGGGAAATGAGACGCTGCGCTGTGCGTGTAGGTACGGGCGGTGCGAGAGAAGAGAAGTGGTTACTTTAATTGCGCATCGGACGTGAAGTTGTAAAACTTGGGCCGACCTCAGCGCTCCGCTCGAGCTGCTTTGGCCATTGACACGGCGGGTGACATCGCATCACGCGATGTCACTTGCCCCGGGGTGGGCTCGTGGACGAGGCAACGCTGCTGATGCTGCCGCTGCTGCTGGGCCTTTCCATGTTTTGTGCGTGTGGCTGCCTCCCGCGCCTCCTGCCCAATGAAATCTCTGGATGTGAGTGGAGAGCGTAATTGGGCAAGGATTGTCAGCGCTCGCCCGCACCACACACAGAGAGAGACGTGGGGGGGGGGGGGGGGTGAGACCATTCATTCTCTTTCGTCCTTCCACCCCAACACGCCCACTCTCCAATTCTTGCGCGAGTCTCTCCCCATCCACCCAACTCCATCAGTAACTCCATCATCATCATCATCGCCACCACCCCCTCGCAGAGCGCGGGGATTCCCGCACGGAGCTTGCGTCTGGGACGGGTGTGTCGCCTGTGCGTGTCGCTAACAGCACTTTCCCCAGCAGTCTGTTAGGGGTATATGGGAGGCCTCTGTCTGTGTATCTGCGGGGAGGAAGTGTGACTGACGGTGAGCGCGCTGCTGCGCTAGGAAACCCTGCGACCTGAGTTCGATTCCCGCTCACGCGAGTGACGATCATCTGAACCGGTCCCTGTCCCCCTCCCCTCGGTCTATTCAGCCTCAAGTGAGTACCTGGCGCGGTGTGTAAACGAGGCCACCAGGGAGACAAAGGCGGTCGCGCGTGGTGCTGGCCACCCACCCGCTCGCGTGCCGTGCCGGCCTTCAGAAGTGTTCGCTAACGGCACTTGCCCCAAAAGTCTGTTACGGATATACGGGGGATCTTTGTCTTTTATCTCAGCCTCGTCTGGCGCGGAGTTGCCCACATCACCCTCCTGTGAGCCGTGGTCGCCTTCCTTCATAGGTGCTCGCTCAGTGACACTCGCCTCCACCTGCCTGGGTTGGTGATACCGGGGGGTGGCTGGGGTCTTTTGCGTTGCGTGGTCGGTGTCGTCGGCCAGAGGCAGCGCCTACATGGGCACGTCTGGCTTACTTACGTACGGCGCGAAAGAAGTGCAATAAACGTGCGGAGCGTCACGACGTTGTCGTCACGACGTTGTCGTCGTGACGCTCTGCGACGCTGGAACCCATGGGTTTTCTCTTCTGCCCAGCCACGTGGCGTGGTCGCGACTACTACGCGATGGCTCGGAGCGTCCGCCTTGGCATGTCCAGGCCATCGGCTCAGGCGGTATCTAATTTGCTCAACTAAGTCCATTGTCAGGAGCGGTCGCGTCGAGCGCGTGCGCTGCCACAGCGGACCGCGCGGCCTCGCTGCGATTGCCCTGAGCTGACGACACTGCTGCTATATTTAAAGAGGACGGCTGTCAAAAACGCGTCCCGAGGCGGCGGGAAGGGTGTGGGCGCGAAATCAATCAGCGTCGCGTTATTGACGGGAGTCGCGACATTGACGGGAGTCGCGACATCGGCGCGTTTACAAGCGAGTCGCGTCGCGAACGCCTGACGCGAAGTGAGTCTGTGGCAGCACGGTCCCGTTGACTGCGCTCACAGCCATGACGCGTTACGAAGCAACAAAAGGGCCCCCCCCCCCTCCACTCATCCACCCACACCCCACCCCCCCCCAACTGGCTTCTCGTCCTTTCATTGTTTATATTCTTATTCTTCTTGGCCGTCCTATCGAGGAGTTTATTTTGTTTTGTTTGCGACGTGACCTCAGCAGCCATTTTGAGACAAAGACCTCCTCCGAGTCGTAATCGCCCTTCGTGTGAGAAGTCGCCCGCGATGATTCTGTCTCATCTCCACGTGCCCGTATGTACGTAGACCGTGCGTGTGTGTGTGTCTGTGTGTGTCTCTGTGTGTGTATCTCTGTGTGTGTATGTATGTGTGCCTGTGTGTGTGTCTGTGTGTGTGTATGTCTGTGTGTGTGCCTGTGTGTGTGTCTGTGCGTGTGTGTCTCTGTGTATGTCTGTGTGTCTCTGTGTGTGTATGTCTGTGTGTGTGTCTGTGTGTGTGTCTGTGCGTGTGTGTCTCTGTGTGTGTGTCTCTGTGTGTGTATGTCTGTGCGTGTGTGTCTGTGTGTGTGTCTCTGTGTGTCTGTGTGTCTCTGTGTGTGTGTCTGTGTGTGTGCGTGTCTGTGTGTGTCTCTGTGTGTCTCTGTGTGTGTGTCTGTGCGTGTGTCTCTGTGTGTGTATCTCTGTGTGTGTGTCTCTGTGTGTGTGTGTGTCTGTGTGTGTCCGTGGAGAGCGGTGGCGCAACGGTGAGCGCTACGCTGCGCTACGAATCCCCCGGCCATCCGAGTTCGATACCCGCTCGCGGCTAACGCCAGTGACGATTATATTATGTGAACCGGTCCTGGGGACTCCCCTAGGTCGACTCGGCCTCAAATGAGTACCTGGCGTCGTGCGTAAACATCACCACTAGGGAGGCAACGGCGACCGGGCGTGCTGCTGGCCACCCACCCACCCCCTCGTGTGCCGTGCCGGCCTTCATAGGTGCTCGCTAACAGCACATGCCCCAACAGTCTGTTAAGGCTACACGGGAGATATGTGTCTGTGGAGAGCGGTGGCGCAACGGTTAGCGCGCTACGCTGCGAAACCCCTGCGACCAGAGTTCGATTTCTGCTCACGACCCCATAACGGTGGCGAATATTTGAACCGGTTCTGAGCACCCACCCCCCTAGGTCGACTCAGCCTCAAATGTGGCGTGTGAACATCGCCACTGGCGGAGACAAAGGCGGCCGGGCGTAGTGCTGACCACCCACCCCCTCGTGTGCCGTACCGACCTTCATAGGTGCTCGCTAACAGCACTTGCTCCGAAAGTATGTTTGTTACAGGCTATACGGTGGATCTTTGTGTCGTCTTTGTGTTCTACCGAGCGGTGGGTTGTGTGACTGCACTACGAAAAGCCGAGTTCGAACCTTGTTCACGGCCAGCATCAGTGTCGGATATTTGTATCGCGGTCCTATCGGTCGTACCTGGTGCGTTGCGTGACCTAGGGTGCTACTCGCTCACAGCACTTTCTCTAACAGACAAAGATCCCAACACGTGGGATCTTTGTCATTGTCGTCTACCAAACAATTGTTGATGTCTTTGGTGATCGCAGAGAGAGAGAGCACACGGAGTGAAGAAAAAGGTTGGATTGTTTTTTGTTTAATGCTTCTAATGTGCTATGCACTTTTATTTAATAAATTTAATTAATACAGCATGTATGTTGTTCGGGGAGACACATACAGGGTTTATTGACATTCCCAATAATGATTATGTTGTGTTTATATTGTATATAGTTAATTGCCTGTCTATAAACGTCGTTGATCATCAAATGGTTCAAGCAAGCCGACGCCTGCTAATGTGAGATACTGAATGTGAAACCGGTAGAGTGTTTTTTTGCATGCATCCAACCAATCACCGCTACTTGAAATACCGCTCAAAAGATGCACTTCCAAAAGGCCGAGCTGCCGATGGGTTGTGTAAACAATGCCGGGGTTTTTTTCTTTTTTAAACGGAGAGAGACAAATATGGAAAGGAGGCGTTTGTATATTCGTTGACTTTCTTAGAAAGGAGATCCGAGCAATGAATCTTAGACGTGACATTCACTCGGTGCTGAGCTCTTGTTTAATTTGAATCACCGCGTCAGATAAAAATGCGCATTCAGCGAAAAAAGGTGTTTTATATTTCGTACGCATAATTTGCTGTGGTATCTTATATACATATACATGTTAATATAGTTTTCGGTTCCGATCTGATACAATTGTCAACTCATAATAAAGGTTTTTGGGTTAGATCGCGTTATTTATAAATGTGTCGTAACCCTCCACCACCCGACACGGCCAATCAGCAAAAAAAAGTGTCACGTTGACAAAAGACAAATAATTCACTACTTTAGCCCACCGGTGTGTTGAAGAGTGAATCCACAACATTTACACTCTTCAACACACCGGTGGGCTAAAGTAATGAATTATTTGTCTTTTGTCAACGTGACACTTTTTTTGCTGATTGACCGTGTCAGGGGGTGGAGGGTTACGACACATTCATAAATAACGCGATCTAACACAAAAACCTTTATTATGAATAATATTGGTCGCGAAAGCCTACGTGTTAAACAATTGTCAGCTATTATTTTTTGTACTGTATGTGCAATTGGAGATGTTAATGTATTGTTTATTAACGTATAATTTACAATTGGAGATGTTATGCTACTTCAGATGACAAACGACTTCATTCCCCCAGTACCGTGCACATGGTTGAGCCTTTGCACACCCCCCCCCCATTTTCCATCCACTGCCGGACGAGCAGCGCCTCTCTTTGGGCGCCGTGAGCGACATTTGCGTGGGGTGATGTTTGACCAAAATTCACATCGATTTGTGGGTGCTGGTACAGTCTATTGCACCTGCTATGCACGGCGATCTCCCGTACAGAAAACATTTCGTATCATCTCTGCTTTAAATTCCATGGATCGGGCGCATTTAGCGTGGTGTGGTTCGTGCGCTTATTCGCAATGTGTGTGTGTGTGTAACTTCAGATTAAGTCGGATTTAAGGGGATATACTTATACGACGATCCACACGACTCAAAAATGCTTCCAAACGAATCGATACCAGCTCTGCAGTGTGCTTTCTTCGCTGTGTTTACACTCGCTGGTAGAGCCCCTTGTCAATCCACCGCTGGATGAAGGACATCCACCAGGCCGAGTCGGTCATGGAGGTTGTTTGACCATGCTTCACCACGCTGGTCAGTGCGTTTTTAGGGGGGTGTGGGCAGGAATGGTTCAGATAACTATAATTAGCCA